AAAAAGAGTATAAAAAATAAAAACAAGCATGCTACTGCATGCTTGCGTAAATATTAAATATGTAGAACGAGTTGTATTATTTAATGATTGCTAATACATCCTTGTATGCAAGAACTAAATGCTCTTCAGAATCGATTTCGATTTGAGACCCTGAATACTTATCGTAGAGCACCTTATCTCCTACTGAGATGTTTTTGATTTCATCACTATTACCTAACGCTACAACTGTTCCAGTCTGGGTTTTTTCCCTTGCTGTATCTGGAATAATAATACCGCTTTTTGTTTTGCTCTCCTCTTGAGCTATTTTTAACAGAACCCTATCTCCAAGGGGTGACACTTTCATCTTTTCCTCCTAATATATTTTTTGATTATTTATTAATTGCTCTTTACTTTATCATACAAGAAAACACCTATAGTGTCAATATCCATGTAGAAGAGAATTATGTATGAAAGTGTACTAAATAATCGATAAAACCAATTGACAATAAATATATAAAAGTGTACCATATAAATATGGATACATCACTAATAGATTTTTTAGATACTTTCAAAGATGATAAAACCTGTGAAGAATATTTTATTAATCGTAGATTCCCTGATGGCGTACACTGTGTTTATTGTAACAATAAAAATGTGTATAAAATAAATTCAAAAAAGAAATGTCAGCAGTTTAAGTGCTCGGAATGTAAGCAAAGGTTTAGTGTTATCACAGGCACTATATTTGAAGGAACAAAGTTAGGATTACAAAAATGGTTTTTAGCATTTCATCTTATATCTACTTCTGCTAAAGGTATTAGTAGCATTCAATTATCTAAATATTTGAAAACGACACAGCGTACAGCATGGTTTATATTACATAGATTTAGAGAAATAGCACAAGATAATTTTAAGATAATGGGTAATGTAGAAATGGATGAGACCTTTATAGGTGGGAAAGAGAAGAACAAGCATGTAAGTAAAAAGAAGGGGTATCATGGTACAGAAGGGAAAACTGCAGTAATGGGAGCAATATCACAGGAAACGAAACAAGTAGTAGCATATCCTGTAAAGGAAGCTAGTTATAGCAGTATAGAAACATTTAGAGAGCATCATATAGAAAAAGGAAGTATTATATAGCGATGATTGTAGCGCCTATAAAGGACAAGCATTATTTAGAGTAAACCATAGTGCGAAAGAGCATGTCAGAGATGAGCATATACATACTAATACGATAGAGAGCTTTTGGGCTATTATAAAAAGAGGATATATAAGAGTACATCACTGGTGGGGTAATAAACATGCAAAACGATATACAAATGAATTTACATATAGAGCTATAATAATAAAGGTGTTTCTATTGCAAATCTTTAATAAAAACCATTGGTAAACGGCCAAAATATAGAGTATTAACACATGGCTAAGAAGTCACAAAGATTTAAGATAAATATGTCTCTCGATAACTTTTTAGATAGTGTAAAAGATAAGGCAAAGACAGAAGTAACTAACAAAACAAGAAATTATCACAGATAAGAATAATAACAAAATAACATTAAATAAAAGGTTATCACATGAAAATAGAGCATCAGATAAACTCTCATGAATGGACTAATCATTATATAGAGCTGATTGTAAATACGCTCTTAAACATTTAATAGAAAACAATGTAAAAGTAGACCTTATTTATTTAGATCCTCCTTTTAATTCAAATCGAAACTACAATATAATCTATGCAAAGAATAAAAATTCTGTAGGGGCTTCACAAAAAGCATTTTATGATATGTGGACAATGACTAATCAGACAAGACAATTATTATTAGATTTTATAGAACTGGAGGAAATAGTAAAAGTGGTTTGCAAAAAAACATGATATAATTTTATTTTATGCAAAAAATCGTAAGCATTATTTCTTTACCCCCCACTCAAAAATCCTATTTAGACAACACATGCTATAAGCCTCATCAGAAAAGATCAAAAAAATTAAATATAAAAGAAAATGATATGGGAATGTATAGAGAGATACGTAGGAGAGATGTATGGGATGATATAAATGCGTTGCATCCTAGAGCTAAAGAAAGAGAAGGATTTCCTACACAAAAACCTACCAACTTACTTAACATAATAATAAAAACAAGTTGCCCTGAAAATGGAGTAATATTAGACCCCTATTGTGGATGTGGCACTACCGTAGTAAGTGCCATTCTTAATAAAAGAGAATGGATAGGTATAGATATAAGCTCTAATGCTGTAGAGATAATGGAAAATAGAATAGAAAATATACATACATCAGCAGTTACTCCAAAAAAAATACCATTTGATACATGCAAACCCTGCAAATCTAACTGAATATAATAAGTGTGGTGCTTATCAAAAACAAGAGTGGCTTATAAACTCCGTAGGTGGTGCATGTAATTCTAGAAACAGTAATGATGATGGAATAGACGGCGAACTTACTGTACATGGTGGTTTTGATAGCAATGGTAGCGATATATGGCATAAAGTAATATTTAGTGTCAAAACTGGTAATCAAAGTAACCCTAATTTTATAAAAGAACTTGTGAGGACTATATCACTGACTGACGCTACTTATGGAGCACTAATATTAGATAAAGACCCTAGTGAGAACATGTTAAAAGAAGCTCAAAAAAAGAGGCGGGTTATGTATCAATATACTAAAGAAATGCCCCCTCAATATTTTATACTGTTCAAATACTTACAAGTCAGCAAATTATAGATGGAGCTAGATTTGATTTTCCTCCTACAATAAATAAAATAAAAGAGGTTAGGAAACATCCTACTATTGATTTTGAATCCTAGTACACTTTCATACATAATTCCCATGTAGAAGTGCTCCATGCATGAAATATAATACTACTATGTTTTCTGCCCAAGGTAATAATAAGAAAATTCTACGAATTCATTAAGAGCTACAAACAAATGATACAGAGTGCTAGATGGCGAATACGTGGACAGTACTCCCCCTTTTTCATCCACACAGTCATTCCATGCTACTTGATGGGTATTATTGCAAAAAACACGAAACAGCGTTTCAACAGAAGAGAGCAAGTCGGTAAGATAATTGGTGTTCTCTGTGCGCCTATACATAGTAATATTTGCCTTTATATACTCAGTCTGCGCCCACATACGGTGTGTGGTTTGTGTACGCTCGCCTGTCGGGGAACATACTTGATAGGGAATTGCATTCTCACTGCACCCCTTGTGTCTTGCAAAGGTGTATATATTCTCTATAGAGCTTACTTTTTCTCCCGATAATCTCTCGTACTTATCTAGGAGCCACACCCACTCAAAATGATGCCCTGGTTCCACAGCAGTCCATAACTTCTTATCGGGCATAAAATGCATATCAAAGTACTCGATAATTACCGAATGTGTTGAATGTAGGAAGTAGCGAGTGTAGAGAGCGTATATCTCCTTCGCTTGTTGCATCCAGTAGTCTTCTCCAGTAAGTCCATAAAGCTCCAACAAGACCTCAAACAAATGCATGTGTGGATTCTGTAGAAAGTATGGCGATTCTGTAATAATAGGATCACTTGTAATATACCCCCCACTGGAGTGTCGAAACGTTTTCTGCATGCATTGCCATATTTTTTGTAGCATATGCTTATAGTAATCCTCCTTGGTAACATGATGTAACCATATAGTTCCTAAAAGCGCAAAAGCCATGTCATAGGTAAAAACAGTGTTGTCGATAATTATAGCGTGTGCGTTGCTCAGGGTGGCAAACCCTCTTCCTTCCTGCCAGCATTTTGCCATAATAAAATCAAAGGCTTTCTCTGCGGTAGCTATATAGTTGCCGTAGCCCTTTGCTGTTGCTGCTGCATGTACAAAAATATTCCTTGGGTGTATGCGAAAGCGCTTGTCTTTCTCTTGTATGGGGTGCAGATTGATATCTATGCCTTCAAAGTAGCCCCCATGCGTATCATCGTAGCCAGTACTTGCCCAATACCCCACACTCTGCTGTATATATTCTTTGCAAAGCGTGCTATATGATTGTATTTTTTCTCGCAACACCGCTGCTACCTCCTTTGCATATAAAGACTGTGTTATTGAAACATATCGGCATCTGAAAGATAACGTTCTCCTAGATCATAATTAATAGTAAGATATGTTTTTTGTGCTGCAGTGCTATATTTTCTTATAAATTTAGATACAGCATGTAAAGATGCTCCAGTAGAAACACCTCCTAACACAGCTTCTTTCTTTGCTAATTGTGATGCAGCACTATATGCGTCAACTTCTTCTACATGTATTACCCCATCAATATACTGTAGCTTAAGGTTTTTTGGAATAAAACCTGGGCTTGCCCCTGCAATACGGTGAGCTCTTGCTTCTCCTCCCGCTATTACTGGGCTAATACTTGGTTCAACGGCATATACTTTGAGACGAGGAATATATTTTTTCAATTCAATGGCAAGACCACTTATATGCGCTCCCGTTCCAGAAGAAGTAATGAGATAATCAATACCATGTGGAAAATCACGTAGTATTTCCTGGGCAGTATTACGCATGTGTGCAAGAATGGAGTCGTGATTTGAAAATTGATTGGGCATCCAGGCATTACGTATACTCCGTTTCATATACAGCGCTCTTTCTAACGCTCCTTTTGTTCCTAAATGAGCTGGAGACAGCACTACTTTAGCCCCAAAGGCTTCCATAACTTTTATTCTTTCTTTACTCATTTTTGCAGACATTACTATGATTACCTTGTACCCTTTTACTGCTCCAAACATAGCAATAGCTATCCCTGTATTACCTGATGTTGCTTCTATAATGGTGTCTCCGGGGTGTATATCCCCTCGCTTTTCTGCTTCTTCTAGCATATAGGCAACCGCTCTATCCTTTATGCTTCCTCCTGGATTTAATTTCTCTAATTTTAACCACACTTCTTGGTAAGGAAACAGTCGAGATAGTCGTACAACTGGGGTGTTCCCTATTGCATCAATAATGCTAGAAATTTTCATGTTCTGTATTTAGCATATTCTACTTAATTGAAAATATCAAGCTTATGTGCATAAAGATACTATAACTTCTCTTACATCTTTTGTATCGCGTAATGCATCCGCTACCACTAATGCCTGCTTACTATTGCCGCAAAAACAAACAAGAGCTCCACCTCCACCTGCGCCACTCATCTTTGCTGCAATAGCCCCAGCGCGTATAGCGCATTGCAATGCATGTTCTAATACATCGCTACTTAATCCTATATCTCGTAAAGTAGTGTGTATGGACTCTACAAGTATGCTAAATTCTTCTGTGTGCTTTTCTTGTATGTCCTGCTTCGTAAGCAATGCTATAGCCCTATTACTATCCGCAATAAGTTTTGATATATACTCTACACGCTGCAGCGCTGATTGCGCTCGAGCAATAAGTGCTGCTACTTGCGTACTGCGAGGATACGATGCAGCCACTACTGCTAGATGTATGTGTGACTGGTAGCAGTGAAAAGAGGGGAAGCGTCCCTGTGTATTTGTATCACGCACTCTTTCTAGTACAAGGGCGCTTTCTTGCATGCTTAATGCGGTATCAATACCCGAAGAGGGTGAGTGAAAAAAATCCTCAAAAAGTGTCGCGAGTCGCCATAGTGTTGCGTGCTCTTCTGCGACGTTCTTTGTTGAGCTGTCTATGGTATACTGCGTACAGTACTGAGCATGTCCGTTATACTGAAGTATGCAGCTAGCCAGCGCGGTCGATAATGCTGCTGAAGAACCAAAACCACTTTGCTTGGGAATACTACTTGTAAGCTCTATACTTGCTGTTGGCACCTTTAAGTGTTCAGTTCTGCATACCACAGAAATATGTTCTAGAAACTTACGTAGTACTACATCTCTTTTTTTGAAACGAAGCTGCTTTCCATCTACACATACTACTGCTTTCAAAACATTGGGAAGTGGGAGACCCAATGCTGAGGCACCATGAAAAATCAGGTGCTCACCAAATAATAGCACTTTTCCTCTCATCTCTGCATGGATGGGTGTTGTATGCATGACTCTCTTTATTATACTAGTTATTATACTAGCATCTAGTATTCTCTACGAAAGCCTCCAGAGAATCGTATGACTTCGTACTTCGCCTTTGCGTCTTCTTTGTGTGGGTGCATATCGTGTTTTTTACTGCTATGAAGAATACCCACCCCGCACTCATTTCCAGCGCCACTTGCCTTCCATGTCAGTACTTGGGTGGGAGGAGATATTTCTGCACATACTGAGATATACTCTCCTAAGCGTAGTCCTAGGTTCCTTAGCGCATCGATGCTACGCAGTAACGTACGCATCTCTCTTGCCGCAATGCATTGCTGTAGTGTGGCATCGTAGTCTCTGCGAAGTGTAGTGTAGCTGTGAAACGCTCTTTGCTTCCAGTGCTTATAATGCGTAAGGGCATCTCTGCTAGAAACGCTGTTCTCTGTGTTATTCCAGCGTATCCATGTAAAATTCTGCAGGTATGAAACTGCTACCGTACTTAATACATTTCTGTTTCCCTTGTCAGATGCTGTGCGAGAAATAAGATTGCTGCCTCCTGTTGCTGATGCGTATACATCGTAGCCACTTCCTTGCCCTCCCTGCCACAGATAGTGCACACATTGCGCGCCTTCTCGGAGTATGTCTGCTTCCGCAACTGGATCTAAACCGTGAAGTAACATATGTGCAGCTGACACGAGTATTGATGCACATGCACTGGAGCCAAGTCCTAGTTTTTGATTACTTGTAGCAGAAAAAAGCGACGATGTATCTACTTCTAAAAAGAGGTATTCGTCCTCAGATAATATGTTTTTTGCATACTTATTCTGCTTATTATAGAGAGTAGGTAGTATGGTGTCAGCGCATCGCCAAAAATCGCAGTCGCTATGCCTGTGATATTGTATGCACATTCCCTTATATCTGCTTTGCATGCATACAGGTGTTGTAGCATCTTTCTTTTTCCGTACTTGAACTGTAAGATACGAGCGTGGTTCTACTGCAAAGCACAGACCAGCCCCATCGCTTTCTGTAAGAATGTATTCCCCACACAACAGCATATTAGAAGCTACGCTGTACTGGCGCTTATGAAACATCTACACTACTTGCGCCCTTTCCAAGTTTACATAGCGTATATTCAATATTGGGGAGCTGCTCCTTTACTTTTTGTAATATTGTGTTAACATCCTTCTCTTCTACCAAGTACTTTACCTGTGGTCCAGCATCCATAGTTTCCCATACTGATACTCCATGCATGCGGAGTTCGTTAGCTATCGAGATAAGTTGCAGGCTTGTCGGTTGCCAATACACTACAGGTTTCATGCTTGCAATCATAACTGCATGCATTGCTCTGTAGCTCGCTCCGGCAAGAAATCCTAATTGCTCCAAATCTTTATTACGTATAGCATGGAGCATGTCGCGCGTTAACATCGTATTATAACGTAGCCATTCTGAATAATAAGGAGAATGTTTTTTGCAAATCTGCATAGCTTCTCGAGAGGTAATTTTTTTCTTCTCAGAACTTACAATAAAGACAATAACACGTAAATCTGGCCAGTACTGCTCATTCTCTATTTGAGAGGCATATTCCATGCCCTGCTTCCAAATAGTAAACCCCGAAAAAATAGATCTGCATGCAGAACCAGAACCAAGACGTGCATACTGAGAAAGCTCAGTCTTAGGCACAGAAAGGCCAAAGATATTAACCAGTCCCACCGTGAGAGCAGCAATACCCGAAGCTGAACTCGCAAAGCCTGCTCCTGTAGGAAAAGAATTATACGATGTTATTTTTACATGCTCATATGTGCGGTTACTGTTCCTTTTTATTTGATTGAGAGTTGGTGCAATAATATCCAAGGAATGCTGTTCCCCATTCAACATAAGGCTATCTTTATTTGACTTTTCTATTTCTACCGAAGATTTAAGCGTATCGAGGGTTATTGCTATGTTTGTGCACGCTGGTATATTTATTCCATTATTTTCCTTTCCCCAGTATTTAATTAAAGCAAGAGAGGGGCCTGCGCTGGCTAGTATCTTCTTCATAGTTTTTTTTCTGTATGTATAGTTCTTTTGTTATGGAATTTTTTATGCCCATACTGTATACCTATATCCACCAACGCCAATATGGCAGCTAGGTTTTGTGCAATCCCCAACGCCGCAGCGATGCAGTTGAGCTGCTGGGCATGAATATCTTTACCGTGGTTTATACTCATGATGTGTCGACTCCATTCTGCAAGAGGGTGTGATGTCCCACCACCTACGGTAGCAAGTACCGAAGGCATCTGCAGTACCCCAGAAAGCATACCCTCACTATAACTAAAACGCGAGAGTGGTTGGTAATGCGAGTGGTGTTGCGTGCCTTTGCGTATAGCCGAAGCAAACGCGTGGAACTGTGCAGCTAATGCCCGTGTATCATTTCCGGTAACCAATGCTAACCCATTCACTGCATTCATAACCCCCTTATTATGCGTAACAGCTCTATAGACATCTTCCTCTGCCCACTTACTCATCATCTCTATTCTCTTTGCTAATTCCTTGCCACTGTAACGTGAAGATCGAAGGCGTGAGCTTGGAATTGTAAACTCTGCCTCTGCTATTCTCTCAAGACTGTAATTACTAAGAATAGATGCAAGACATGTTCCTCCACTTAACTCTTCTAGCAGTGGTGCTAGTGCTTCGGCTGCTGCGGTAACTATATTGGCCCCTAAAGCATTACGTACATCTACACTAAAATAAAATACAAACATACCATTAGGTAAGCGTCTATACTCAGAAGACCTTAGGCCTCCTCCTCGCATATGCATGCGCAATAGTAACTCCATCAATCTATCCTGTATTTTTTTCCATTCTTTTCGTAAGACTTCTTCTCCTGCACTACTTACATCTAGTAGCGCTATTTGTGCGGTCTGTAGTGCTGGGCCACACTTCGCCTGTATTCCTTGTTCGGTATCCAGTATACTTGCAGTGTAATTCGCCGCCGATATTACTGACGCTTCTTCAGTGGCAACTGGAACATGGACATACTCGCCGTTTACATACACATTCCGTACTATTCCTATGGGTACACCAAAGATACCCACAGGTATTTCTATCATAGTATCAGCTAGTGCAATGAAATCATCGTGTGGGAGAAGGTAGTTCTTGATCTTCTCACTATACACCGATGTGTAGTCACTGTTTCCATTATGTACCATCTCGGTGAGGCATTCTATTCTCTCTTGCATTGTCTTCCTACGAAATGAAGCTCTTAGTTTTTTTTGAGAATACTTGTTTCTATTATTAATATAGTACGTCCTTTACTAATTCCAAGTAGTATTACTTCTTAGTACCTGCTTGTTTACTTTTTCTGGTAATACCAAACCCATTGCTCTGCTGTAAGAAAGAAGAGCGAACTGGAGATCAGCATTCATCCAAAAAGGAAGAGCGGATACTTCTTTTACATTTCTTGCCTTAGATAAGAGCATAAACTGTTTTAATTGCTGTGTGAGCATTGATATGTACTCGCGCAATACCTCTATGCTTTTTGCTGCCGCTCTTACTATGGGCAACGCAATCCCAACAGCTTTACTCCCTAGCACAAGACTGATAAGCACATCGCGGGCGTTGCGTATACCACCCGATGCAAGGCGTCCTTCCATGCCATAACTCAAAAGTAGTAGCAGTACGCTGGGGTGCCCCCAGTGATCATAGCTTGCAAAGGCCTGCTCTTGCTGATAATGGTATCCTTGTGCATTATTCATAAGCTCTATTTTTGCCCAATTACTCCCACCTGCACCCGCAATATCTACATACCGCGCTCCTATTCCTAACAAGTACTGCATTTCAGACGGATGCAGTCCCATGCCTGTCTCTTTTACAATAACAGGTACTGTACTCTTTGCTATGTATTCTCTTAGCGCTTCCTGTATCCCCTGAAAATTTCTTGCACCGTGCCTCTGACACAGTTCTTGTGCGGGGTTTAGATGAAACACTAGTGCATCCGCCTGCAGCTCTGAGAGCACAGAATCTAAGACTGTAGTATTTTTCATATCAAGGAGTTGCACAGCCCCTAGGTTGGCAAGTAATGGCACGGATGGCGCTATCTTTTTTAACTGAAATTCAGCAAGTAAACGCGGGTTCTCTAACAGCACACGTATAGAACCAAGTCCTACAGGAATACCAAATTCCTCAGCTACCTTTGCAAATTTCTTATTCATACTATACGCTTCTTCAGAGCCTCCAGTCATGCAAGATATAAATATAGGATAACGTATCTTCTGTCCAAGAAATTCACTGCTAGTATCTATTGCTTCGTAGTCTAATTCGGGAAGAGAATAGTGAGACAGAAAAATAGAAGAAAAAAAGCTCTTATTGCTTTCTACATCACTATTAATACAGATATCTAGGTGTGCTTTCTTTCTTGATATAATATCATTCATGGTGACTGGCTATACACCCTGTACCCATCTTCTCGTATCCTCGAAAGGTAGAATGACTTTGATTGTATTGTATTGAGATCTTTTTCATTAGGGGGGATAGCATCGTGGTGCTGCATCCACGTACTATATACTTGGGTTTCAACATCGTTGCCAGTTTGTAATTGATCACACAAAGACCACGACTGGATAACTTCAGGCGCTTGTTGTGCAACGCGGCCAGGAATTACCATAGAAGTATTTCCCGACCCATAGCTCAGTACGAGCACTTTTTTGCCTACTATGCTTTCTTGTACTGCTTCGTACTGCTTACTAAGCAGATACCCCATAGAAAAAAAGAGAGAAGATGTATAGGTGTTACCAATCCATGATATTACCTCAGAGGCTTGCTGTATATGTTTATTATCTAGAAACTCTTCTATTTTTTGAAGAGACCACTTCAATTTTCGCTTAAAGATATATTCTAGTGCTATTGTCGACATAGTAGCAAAGGGAAGGTGGAAAAAGAAGTAGTGGGTCTCTTCGCATATCTCGGTAATACTTTTCCCTACACTTTCAGCGCAATCTAATAGTGCATTGTACACAGAATCAAGATAGCATTTCATAGAATACTGACCACGCACCTTGGCAGTACTGCTGTTATTGGGGCGAAAAAAATCGTCTGTGTCTTCTGAGTACAGTCCCACATTGTGAATATCAAGAGAGAGTAGCCTTGGATGTTTTTTTAAGTATACAGAGACAGATCCAGCACCCTGTGTTATTTCTGCAGTGGTATTTGCTTCATAACGTGCAATATCAGTCATGCTTACCAGCGCAGTTGATGCCCTCTTGGCGCTTGAAATCATACCAAGACATTGCATAATGCTTATAACCCCTCCAGCACAGGCATGCTGTGTCTGATACGTACTTACATTAGAGGGAATACGTATACCCACCTTTTGTAATATTCCTATTATATATGCTGATATGGGTTTTGAAGCGTCTACTGATGTTTCTGTTGCGGATACTACAAAACGGAGTGCTTCCAATGATATATTCTGCAGTAGATCTAGTACGGATTCAGTTGCTAAGCAAACAGAATCCTGCCAACTTTGGGTAATTCTTATGCATTTCTGCCCTGTAGTTTTTACCGCATTTTGCATCCTAGCAAACGTTTCCGGATACTCTTTGAAAGCTTTTTCTAGTAAAAGTTGAACTGGCACTCTGGGTTTGGGTATGTAGTACCCAATATTGTCAATCCCTACTGTCTCTTTACTGATCATTGCCTTTCTTAGTTATAGAAAAAGTAGAAATTATATCTGTAACAATTTCTGATAATTGTTTTCTTATAATGTTTATAATACGTACTGTTTGTAATGATTGTGCAATACCTGGTGCTCCCCTTCTTTGCTCTAAAGGTGGTGATGCTTTTATTACCATAGGTGCATATACCATATACCATAATTATAGCATATAAGCAAATACCACACAAAGCTCGAAGCAACTAAGAAGCACCATAGGGCAAAATACACAGCCGTTGTGATATTCTATATAATTGCGTCTCAATCTACAGTATACGCACTGATATCTCAGCCTTGACAATTCCAGTATAGTTATCAACACCTTTTGCATACACTGTGTATATCATTTCAGTAGCAGGGGGGGCATGTGCGAGTACAGATACCACTCCAGTATTTTTATCAATAACAACGTTTGTGTTGCTTGGAGCAATACTATAAGTAATACCCTGCTCGGATGACTCACCCTCCCATATAGGTGCGCTGATTATTTCTTTCCCTTTGTCTTTATCTGCAACAATGTGCGAATAACGTAGTATACCTAAAACAGGGAACGCTGTAACATCAATAACTACATGTGAAGATACGCTGCCGCCACATTGTCCTATTCCTTGTGCCACTACCGTAAAACGAGCGCCTTGCATCACTTGCGCCTCGGAGGTAACAATTATATCTCCTGTAAACGAATCAATAAGCACGCCAGATCTTGTTGGCGAGAGATTGTAATGAACTGTTTGGTATTTATTTTTTCGCTTTCTCCATATTGGTGGGCTTGTTGCAATAGAGCTGTATCTCATTTCTATTTTATTATATTCTAATGTTCCTGTAATGAGGGATACCAGCGCTTCCACTGTAATGCTTGTACGAGCAAGTTCAGTGTCTGCATCTTTAGAATGCAAAGATACTATATACGATGTTTTTTTTCTTACTTCTTTCACAAAGACAGATACAGCTCCTGTATCCTTATCAATGCTAATGCCTGCATCATTGTTTGTGTTAATTCTGTAGAATATAGTATTCAAGGGTTTTTCTGTGTTCCATTTTGGAACAGAAACAGCTAGTGAACCGACTTCAACATGTACACTGCGATACGAAAACGCATATTTTTGAGCGCTTTTTTTCTGCAACATACTTTTCTCCTTTTCTATATAAGTGCTAATATGCACTCACATAAAGTTTCTTATATATATATCATTGCTTGCTATAATAAAAACACAAGATCACATTTTTCATGAGTAGACACAGCGGGAACAAAGAGAAACTGGGTGTATTACTTGTCTTTACATAGCTCACGTACCCACTATAAGTGAATAATTATAAATAACAACTATTGTTTTTTTAATCTAATTTATTAATTATAATATAATTAATATTATGTATGTTTTTATATATAATATTTTATATAAATTATATTGTATATAAATATATAACAATATACAGGGTATGATTATTTATTGCATAGGTAGGGAATATCTACTTGAACACGACATTCTGTATGTACATTTGCTATACCATGTGTATATTTCTAATATACATAGCACTCTATATTATGAAATAAGCATAAGGCTTAGGGGTAGAGGGGGTGCCAACTTCTTTCTTGGGGTATCCACCATACAAATTCTGAATCATCGATATACTCTTGCTTCATAAGATACCAAAGTGGGATACGCTTTCGCTCTAGTCTTTGGAGTGAAGCACTCCATGTGTCAAGAAATGCATATAGTTCGGTATGCTCTGTACCTTCTATTTCTAAAAATTCATTTCGGAACTGTATCATACCATCTTCTTCCTTCTGTGTCGTGGTATTTGCTTGCTGCCAGAGTAAAAAGAAATATGTAAGAGCTGTATCTGTCTGAGGAAAGAACGAGCGAAATATAACATCATACTCTTCATCGCTCAATCCTAGATCTATACTCAAAGAAGTGGAATTCTGAATACGTAGCAACTCTACCTCTATACCTATACGTTGCACAAGCAGATCTGCGAAAGATTTTGCTGCATCTCGTAAAAAATCCTCGTCGTAGCCTATGCGTAGTATACGTTGCTCCTGCTCTTGCGTACGTGCAGCATATGCTCGGAGCACATCTGTATACGAGCGTAGCTCCATAAGCTGAGCAAGACGTATAATACCAATGCTGTTTTCTTCTTCTCCCAATACGATATCAAATGCATCAACGGTTTCGGGGTTGCCTTCAGTATAGTTTGTGTCCGAAAAATTGTATCTAGAACGGAAATAAGGCATAAGGAACTGTGTTGCTTTTTGGGTTTCTGGGGATCCGTGAAGAGAGCGTAGCTCTTCTGTTATATGTGCTACCCCTCTTTCTACATATGCTTTGCGTACGTCCTCCAAGGGGTCGCCAAGCACGCTGTCTTCAGGGAGAGTATAGTCTTCCTCTGCGAATTGTGCATGAAAAAAAGAGTTTATGGGGATATCAAGAAACACCAGCCCTGCCATAGTGCGATGTAGCTGTGTAGCATACTCCTGCGTTACGGAGCTGTTTTCTGTGGTAGTAGCATTACGTCTTACCCAGTCCACGCGTCCTCTTCCTTTTTCTGCGTACAATTCCATTTGCTGCTGCTTAGGCACCCCAGTATATACCTGTAGCTGTTCCACCCAGGGCTGTACCCAAAAATCTTTGTTTGCCTGTAGTGTAAGTTCAGTACTAGTAATGCTATGCGGAAGAAATGCACCGGCACCTAACCATGTTTCAGAGGAGAGAAGCATGCTATTTGCTGGTGGACTGACACGAAAATCATATATAGGCAATACAGCTGATTGTGGGTGAGCAAGAAGCTGTAGCAATGGCGCTTCCTTGTTTCTTACTTGTATAGAAAGAGCATCTTCGTCTTTACTTGTAATACCAACGGTGTCTGCAGCATTACGTAGCTCTTCCTCTGTTGCGGTAGCGGGGAGCATAGCAAGCTCTTCTGCTCCTACAATACTATGCGCAAGCAGTAGGGAGAACTCTGTCTTGATCTTCGGCGTCATGCTACGTAATATACTTTGCATCACCTGTGTCGCAGTTATGCGGGTTCCATCTGTCCAATACGCTTCTCTTAGGGTAAATGTGTAGCGAAACATACTATCGTCCTCTTCAAAACTCCAGTATTGCGCTAATGCAGGGCTTGCTTGCAAACTTATAGGGTTGTAGTTGAGTAGGGTTGCAAAGAGACTATGGGTAATTTGTAGTAGCTCTGTTTCTAATACGGCGTGAGGGTCTATTTCTGATACTTGAGACTCTATTGCAAAGCGAAACGTTCTATTCCTTCTCAGGGAGTCTAATTGAATATCATCGAATGCCTCACGTGATACTGATGGAGCTACGCGTTCTTGGGCTAACGTATGGGTATCTGCAACAGCTCTACTCTCTACACTCTGCTCGTTTACGCAGGAAGAAAGTATAACGAGAAGAAGATAAAAAACTAGATATAAATATCTATTTGGAAAAGAATTCCACAATTTGCTGCTCTTCTGCTACTGATGGTATCATATCACGTGTCGGGTACATAGTTACTTCTACATTTAATTCCTCACGTTTTAACCACTCTGGCACAGCTCGAGCGCTATTTTCAGTAAGCCAACGACGAATAAGGACTACGGAACCTTTCTTGTCTATTACCTCTATCTTATCTCCCACTTTCACATTTATGGAGGGTATGGTTACTCTTTTGTTGTTGTAGAGAATATGACCATGAGATACAAACTGCCGTGCCTGATTTCTACTGCTTGCAAACCCAGCTTTATATACAACGTTATCAAGCCTTCTCTCTAACAGTAAGAGTAGGTTATAGCCTGTTACACCCCCCATAACCTTTGCTTTTTTGAATATATTGCGTAACTGTCTCTCGGAAACACCATAGCTAAATTTAAGCTTTTGCTTTTCCAAAAGCTGGCGTCCAAATTCAGTCTGGCGTGGGCGTCTTTGACGTAATTCTCCTGGTGGAGCTGGTTTTCGTTTGAGTAATTTATCGTATTTTGGATTACCAAAGATATTGATACCAAACCTTCTTACTATTTTTCCTTTTGCTTGTAAAATTCTTGCCATTATCTATTACCTTTTACTATATTGCGTACCATTATTGCTTATCATTATAGCATATTTATATAAATATATCTATATAAATAGATCACACATCGCTTGTTGCGTCTTGCACTGCTACGGTTTCTGTGGCTTCTAAATCACGCTCGTTATGCTGCATATGCTGCTTCACCAAGCGATTAGCAAAAAAGTACATAAGTAGGGCGCATATCCACACATTTACTACAATAGCTGTAAAGACACCCAACATCCCCATATGGAAGGTGTAGACAAAAATCGGGAGAGAGATAAATGGAAGCACTAGCTGCCTAATAACAATAATAAGCATGGCTATTTTTGGTTTTTTCATACCGGTAAGCACACCCTGCGATAAGTTGAGTACCTGGTACCCCATAAATGCTATAAGCGCAAAAAAGAGGTATGTTTCTGTTATTTGTATTACCTCTATGCGGGTAGTAAAAATACCTGTAAGGAGGCGCCCAAAAAGAGAGAGGGGTAACATAAAGTTGAGTAGTAGTAAGAATGCAAAAAGCAGTGCTATAGCAAAACTTTGCTTAATACGTTTATATTGCTTTGCTCCGTTATTCTGCCCCACCAATGCTGAGAGAGCCACACCAAAACCAAAGGAAGGGATGAGTGCCATCTGCTCTATACGAAGACCTATACCATACGCTGCCGTTGCATCGTTTCCTTGCAAGAGAAAGAGGAAAAAGGTAACTACAGAAAGCCCAATGGAGACAAGTAGTAATTGAAAAAACGAGGGGAGTCCGTAGTAGATAATTTCTTTGAAACAGTTACTCTGCAATTTTACCTTACTTAATCTCTGTGGGAGCTGAGCGTCTCTTTTTATTTTTCTCAATACAAGTATGGCACCAAGCACCTGCACAAGCACTGTTGCAAGGGCTATCCCCTTAATACCCATGGCTGGTATAATAGTTACTCCTGCTATGGATGCACCATAAAGAAACAGAGGATCCAATACCATATTAATAAGTACATTCATAATGTATATATTTCTAATAAATTTAGTATTCCCTCTACTCATAAGCCCTGCATTAAGAGTAAACAAGACCATAAGAAAGGGAAATCCTAACGAAAGAACACGTAAGTAATCTACGGCGTACGCTAACACTTCTGCTTTTGCACCTAGAAATATAAGTAAGTACTTCCCATAAAAGAAAACTAACGCAGTTACTCCTATGCCAAAAAGAAAGCAGTATATTGTAGCCTGCGCAAGATACTGTTTTGCCTGATCCTCATCTTCTTTTCCTAAAGCATTGGAAATAAGCACCATAGCGCCCCCAGCAAAAAGCTGCCCCAGCGCAAGAGAGAGGAGAAACACAGGAAATGTAGCCGTA